CGGCTGATGAGTACTATGTTCTAAGCACTGTGGATGTTGAGTCGGTAATTGTTTAGTTGGATGTTGTTGAATTTGTGAAGCTGTTTGTAAGTTCGTTTGGTTTTTAATTGACTCTTTATTTTTTATTGCATTTATCGTTGAATTTGTGGACGAATCTAGATAAGCGCTATCTCTGAGAAAATATTTTTTTATTTTTATTTCTTTATTAACATTTGCAGTTAAATTGCATATCGTTTTTGCTCTGTTATGAAGACATTTCATTATATTTATTTTTTTCGTTTTTTAACTAATTCATCCAAATATTTCGGTTTTGATGGTTTTAATATTGTTATTAATTCATCCATTTTTCATCTTTTTCTCAAATGTCAAATCTGTCAACCCTTTTCAAGACCAAGGAAGTCTGAACTCTAACTTTTATTGAGTTCACTTACTTTTAGTAATGTTTTCAGAAACACCAAAACTGTCATACTCTTCTCGACGCGTTTCATCAACCAAATTACCGTTATCAGAGGTAGATCTACACTAATTTCAAAACTCTTACTTATCCTAACTGTATCCAAGATAATGTAGTCAATCCATAAATACACAAATTAATGTCCTCTAATTTTGAAAGATTGCTTCATGAAAACGTGTAATTGCTGGTTCATATACCAATTTTTTTTCTTATCTTATACTTTTCCTCCAAGAAAGTTGTCACAATTTGAATAAATATTCAAGTGAAAGTGCGATGAATGAAGGCTCCTATTAATTTACATTGTGACAACTTTCTTAAAGCAAAATATGAACTAAAAGTGTGTGAATTAGTCATAAAATGGATGGTTCAGAATATAAAATTGTATAATATTCATTTTTATTTGTTTGATTTTTACGTTTGATTTTTTTCAATACTCTCAATATTTTATAGGCTTTATATTTTGTACCTAAGATAAAAATAAACTCACCCTCTCTGCAAGGTGTACATTGCCCACAAGACTCGTGTTTGTAGAACAAACTCAATCTGGCAATTGCTTCAATAATATCTGTCTGTTTATTCATCACAATTACTGCTGCAGTACCCAGACTCGTTTGAGCAGCAACCAAACCATCGAAGTCCATTAAAACATCTTCACATACTCTTGAAAGAAGAGTAACAGTTATTGAAATCCAGTTGCCTATCAAATCTAATGAATTTAATCTCAACTTGAGTGAATCTTCCATACAACTTACTTTTTTGGAATTACTGGAGTAGATGAACCCCCCGGTATGATCGCTAAAAGGTTATCCCATCCGCCTATAACACCTCCTGCATGAATCTCAATGAGTTCCTTTAATGGAATGCTCATTTCTTCTTCGACAGTACATGGCCTATTAACATGACCAGAAATATTAAATAGCTTTGTTCCAGAGTTACGAGTCCTTCCAAAAGAGGCGAACCATGCACCACCTCTTCGACAAATTGTCTGAAAGTCAATGAAAGTTAATGAAAATAATTTTTTAGAAATTACACATTAAATTGTGATTGTATGAAAAAGGTATGCCATGATTTATGAAAACATCTAACATTTCTGGCATTGATCAGAATTAGGCAAAGTTTACATAGGTAGGTACTGATTTCATATCACAGGGTCATCAAAATTATTTCATTTTCCAAGTTATGATTGCCATTTCCAATCTGTTGGTTACAATTTGATGTTTTATGTGGATAATGTACTCATTCATTTCTCAAATACGTTTCCATTTTATGTTTATGTACATTTCCACAATGCCGAACCTTCCAAATTCAACCAAAACTTCGACACCAAATATGCGTTCTTTCTCGCCTGTAACGGTTTCCAACACCAAGTTCTTTGCTAGGACTGACTCGAAAGATTATTATCACGTCTAAATAATCCGCAGTAATAAAGTAGATTGAAATACAACAATTTGTTTTATAGTTGAGCAATTTTTTAATAGAAATCGTTACATGAATTTCTGCAAATTCCATAAAGCAAAATTAGCCCCTGGTAGCACTCTGAGCGGAGTGTTCCTAGTCCCCTTCGGAGTGATACATAGCTTCTTCGCAGATTTTGCAGTGGCCATAGCTCTCTTAATGTGGGGCACAGCTCTAGGCGTCCTTGGCTTCTTTTTTCCTGAGTAACCATTTTCTTTGTCGCCCTCTGCTGCGCTTATTTCAATAATCCTATGGCCATCAGAATTGTAGTACCTTTGCTTCAAACCGGTATGCGTTTGGGTAGTCTCCTCTCTCGAGATCTCCGCGGAGAGCTCACTACATTACTGGAAGAAGAGGAATTGTCTGTGGATTTTGAACCATTGCCCTGATCATGGAATTCGAAGGGGTTTCCTAAAGAACTGAAAGAAATGCGTGTGTTACTGTTCAAATTAAAAGGACTACTGAAGATGTTGGTGTTGATTAGATGCTGCTCTTCACTGGCGAAGATAGGCTTCGTTTCAAGTTCTTTGATCTAACTTCGTTGGTGATTTGCTGCAGGGACGGGTTCCTAATGAGTTTACTGGGTCGTTCTGATTCTCTAGATCTCCGCCTGATATTTCCAATTTTCCTTGCGCTTGGTGATCGGATTATTTTCTGCTCTGAGTTCCTAACTCTCTGCTGAGTCTTCTCGCCAACTGGTCAGTCCCTGGGCTCATTTGTTCCGCCTGTCCGAGAGATTTTTCGTAGGCCGACTGGATGTCGTGGATAATGTCAACTCTGTTATGAATGAAGATAGTCTCCGCGGATTCCAGTTCTAGAGAAAGCCGTTTTTCGATGGCCGATACCCGGTTTTTTATTTCCTCATACTCGGTTTTTGATACTTGAACGTAGTTTTCCTTCGAACTGTTCAAACTGTCTTCGTTGGAATGATAGATGAATGATTCTCGATCGCCGTGCCAAAATGGGTTTCTTCGTAGAGAAGGGTTCATCTTTGAATTTTTCCATCTTGATATTGAAATTACTTTTCTTCAAATTATAACTGACGGATGGGGTTAGTAGTAAGTCCGGTGTTACAGTATTTACAGAACTTACATTACAGTATGTTCGTCTGTTCGATTTCCAACAATTTTTGGAGTTGGAGTTGTCTATCATCAACTTTACGATTTCCCTCAGGAAACACTTAAGAATCACTGCCACATCTATGATGCTTCATCATGATGTTCGTATCCAAGCATACAGCCTCGGTCCAAAGACAACTTTATTATATTCTGTCTGGATCTTGACTCTTCCTTGCGAAAATGCCCTTCAGTATCTACTTTACTCAGAATATAGGAACACATTTCATACAGTCTTTTAGGCACAACTAATTGTTGCCCATTTTTAAGAGTTACAGTCTCATTCTCTAAGTTTGCTAATGGCACGTTGAATAGCTTCTTGGATTTAACAACCTTAANAATTTTCATATGTAAACGCCCCCCGTTTACCCCACGGGAGGAACCCCAATTGGAATATTTGAAAATACATTTTCAGTGCTCTTCTAAGACCTAAAAAGTACGTATATACCAAATTATAGCATCCTAGGACTTACCAGTACCAGTATGTATATGTGTTTAAAAATAAGTCAAATTTTACATTGAGTAAGAGTATTCACCACCTCGATATGAGAATCAAAAACCAGTTCCATGTGCCAATTGCCCAATTGCGAAATTTCAAGTGACTTATCATTCTGAGACACAATACATTGGTCCAAAAATATACAATATTCTTCCTGAATATGTGAAGGCTTCAAAAGCAACTGTATGATTTTAAACAAACACTGAAAGCATATATGTTAGAAAATTTTTATTATATTCTAGCAGAATTTTTCAAAAATTATTAGGTCTGTTCTTTTTTTACTATCGCCTCATTTAATTTTTTCAATCAACTTTAAGCGTCTTTATTTTATTGTCTTGACAGTTTCCTAAACAACTTCATATTGTTTTTATGGAAATAAAGTAATATAATTATTATGGATACTAAAATGTTTAAGGTCGGGTACAATCGAGACTCGGTTATGCAATAACAGTAATTTTCAATAAAAATAATAATGATTTCAGAACATTTTATTACAATTGATACCCTATGATATCAAAGAATACTTCGACTATTATCGATATATCAATATACTTTTTACATTGTATTTATTTTATATACTGTTATTGCTACGTTTGTTCTGATCTAGTTAAACTGTTATTTTTGTAAAATTTGACTTATCCAATAACTTGTTAGCTCATTTATGGATTAATAATTCTATTCCATTTCATTTCATATTATCTTATTTCATTTCATAATATTGATTTTATACTGTGTCTGTTCATTAGTTTTTAAAAAATTGAGTTAGTTTTAGGACAGTTTCGTGAAAATTCTTTCGAATGATATTTTCCAATAATGAAGATTTTCTGATTTGATTTATATTATGACAGGAAATGTTGAGGCACCATTAAAAACGATTATTTTCTTGACGAGTCAGTATTACGATACTAAAAAAAGATCAAAAAATGATTTGGACTTTCAAATTAGAAATTGAGCAAAAAAAAACTCACAGATGAGACAGCAACTGTCTCCACATTTGTAACTGTTGTAGGACATCCAAAAATACCAACATCAGCAGGAAATGGCGGCTTCAGCCTTGGTTTTCCTTGTTTCCCTTCAAGGGACTCCATGAGAGCAGTTTCTTCACCACAAATATAGGCTCCTGCACCTCTATGTACGAAAACATCAAAGTCATATCCAGAGCCACAAGCATTCTTACCTAAGAAACCTGCTTGATATGCCTACAATAAAAATTATTGCTGATACAGCAAAGAAATTACCAAAAGGTACAAACACAAACATATATAAATAAAACAATTTTTCTCATGATTCACAGATTTGAGATATCATCCTTTGACAACGATTAAATACTATTAGTAACAATTAGATCATGTGTGTATTCATTATTCAGCAGTTTTTCCTAATATGAGATACTTGACACTTTCCAATATACTCTAATTTCAGATGTATGAGAGGTCGTGTCTCACTCGAGTTTAAAATTCAAATATTCGAAATGGTATAATCAACTTTTACACGTATTTTGTGAGTGAAAAAGTTTGCGAAACGAGCGCAGCGAGTTGAACAATTTCACGAACAAAATAAAACTTACTTTTAACACAAATATC